CCCACAAAGTCAGATTTGGTCCTGATGGAAGCGCTTGATGAGTTTGTACCAATCAACCTACCAGCAATCATGATAGATCACATGTAGAAGGTGGCAAATTTTAAGGGTGACAATCATGGGTTACCTTATGGCTTTCTCCTCACTCAAGTGTTCAGATTCTATAAGGTTCTCTTGGGAAATTCTAGAGTGGGCACACGCAAGCAAACATTTTCTAAGACCACCCTAGAAGAATGTGAATGCATAGAAAAAGTTGGTGGAAGCATCTTGACCATTTCTCAACTGATAAACACCCAAAATGTAGCCTCTGAGGAAATACGAAGGCTAAGGGCTCAAAATGCCATTCTAGAAACTCAGCTAGCCAAGCAATTAAGGGACCCGATTCTGTACATAAGGAGGTTGCCAAACTGAGAAAGGAAAATGAGAGACTTCGGGCTCAACTACTTGAAGAACAACTGGCCGCAAATGCTAGACTAGACCTGGTTCTCAAAAGCATTGTTGTCTCTTCCTCCAAGCCTCCTTCCCTTAGTTCTCCCTAGGATTCTCCCTAGTATCTAGCTATTTTTGCTCCAACTTCCTGTGTCTGCTGTTTCACTTGTGTTCACTTGTTTTTATTTTGTGATGGCATGTTGAACTTAACCATTACTGCTCCTGACTTGCTCAGTCCAATGTAAACATTAACGAAACAACTTCCTTTTTTCTTCCATGTACAACACTATGTTCCTCTGGTTTCTCTTTTCAGTCATGACTGTGTGCACATATGTGGCATGAGCTAGTTGTGTTAGACTTCTTTATGCTTATTACCTGCATGTGCTCTTTGTCATACTAGCTGGTCTTTTTAATGATGACAAAAGGGGGAAATTGTTTATAGAATAGATGGGGATGGGGCTAAGAAGATTAAGGGGGAACTATGTTATGCATGTGATGTGCTATGTCTCTATCTTCAAAGGAGGTAGATCTAAGATCAAGGGGGAACTGCTGACTCATCTGGTTAATTAATTGTTAATCCTGGTCTAAACAAATGTTTTTCATCCTTAAGTTTGTCATCATCAAAAAGGGGGAAATTCATGAGTTTTCAATGTCTTAGCCTTATACTTCTTATGTTTTGATGATCTAACAAACTTATTATGAAGAACCAGACAGAGAATCTTGTCGCATAAGTTATACATATCATATAAACAATTCAACAACAGGAAGGAACTAAACGATCACAAAGAGGAACATCATAGGGACCTGGTGCCCCGGTCTCTTAGAGTTCTCCATCACAAAAAAGTCAGTGACTGTACACAATCAATATAAAGAGGAACACAACAGGGACCTGCTCCCCGTAGGTTCTCTGACAGAAGTACAGGTCAAGTACACAGCTGGAATGTGACAGAAGAAAGTGACCATCGGGTAACTGTTACAGAAGTAGAACATAATGAGGACCTGGTCCGTTGGTGGGTTCTGACAGAAGTACAAAGTCCACTATCCAGCTGGAACGCAACTGCCTAGTAGTGGCTGTGCAGACAGTGCATCAGTCACTTCTCTTTAGGAAAAAGTACACCACGAGTTGACATCACTACCTATTATGATATCTTTTGTGACAAAACAACCTGGTGCAAGACACACTAGGAGGTGTGCATTCTGTGATATTCTCTCAAGAAGAAGAGGCATCGATCCGGCATTGAAATCACTGGTGTGTCAAGAGCAAGAAGACAACTCCACTAAGGATCAGTTTCTAAACGAAGTCTTATGTATATCCATAGTTGAGTTGTAATCTTGTTAATTTTCTACATTGTAATTCCTAGTTTGCTTTCTTAGAAGCGATGTTTTAGGAACAAACAAAATTCTTAAACTTTAGAGTTTATGTTGTGACTAGAAATAGTCATAAGTTAAATCCTCTATAACTAGGAGAGTTAGAGAGTGGCTTGTGGTGGTCGTACCACAAGCTAGTTTAAAGTCTTTGCAATAGGGAGATTGCAAAGTGGCTTGTAATAGGTAGATTGCAAGTTAGTTGGGTTAAAAGCCTATAAGAGTAGGTCGTGGTTTTTTGATCCCCTTGTGTGGGATTTTTTCACGTAAAAAAATCTCTTACCTTCTTTACTTTCAGCCTTTACAGCATTCTACATATCAGTCTTATACGGGACTAGGTACTCTATAGTTTGGTGGACTCGTATAAGCTATCAAACACCCAGGAACGCCACTATAAAAGCGAGTCCCCGGCGTGCCTTCCATTTATCTTTGTTTCCCAAATGAGTTAGCCCAGTATCTGGAGCCTTAAAACCGTGGGGATCGCCGTAACGCTGGTACAAGAAGTAGAATGTGCAAAATCCCTCGGATAGATTTCCGTCTTGAACATCCCGACTAATGCTTAGAAGGTCCAAAAACTTATGAGGAGTCACTGTTATTGGTGCCACTAGGTACTGACTTCTGAGATTCCCACTAACCATAGCCTGCTATTTCCTCAAGCGTCGGGGTTAGCTCAAAATCAGAAAAATGGAACACATTATGCGTCGGGTCCCAAAAAGGTATCAAAGCTTCAATCATGTCCAACCTCGGTTTGATTTTCAGAAGACCAACAAGACCGCCCAAAACTTTTACCACAGTATCTCTACTCACTTTCCCTAAGTCGTTCCACCATATATGGAGTCCTAATGGGATTTCCTCAAGGACCGTGAAGGATTCATTTTCAATTGTGCTCATCCTGCACATTTATTAGAGTGATTGGTTAAAAGATCAAGATTTATTTTGACTCAAGAAAAAGTTATCAGATTTCAAAAAAAATTCATTTCAAAACAAGGAACGCCTTTGCAAATATGGCCCTTCAGCACCTTAGGGAAGAAGATTTTAGGGTTGTGTTTACTAATTGGCAAAAATTTGAAAAAGGAACCAAAGGTGGCTATTCTTGCAAAAGCAGCCTTCCGGCGTCCTTTTGGGACGTTTTGGCCATTTAGACAAGAATGGCATTACCTAACTTATTTATGACAAAACAACAAATTTTTTGTTCTTTTTGGGTTATTTTGCAAAAATGGAGTTGGACCCGGTGAGGGTTGCCTACGTATCCCACATCCGGTGAGAATCAAACTTGCGTAGTTCGGGTGGTTTTGACATAATAAAAATAGTACCAAACATTTTTTCTTGAAGCAAAAAAATATCCTTTTCTCTTTTCTCAAAATTTCGACAGAGTTTCGGTATCTTTTGGACACCGGGTTTTGGCCATTTAGACAAGAATGGCATTACCTAACTTATTTATGACAAAACAATAAATTTTTTGTTCTTTTTGGGTTATTTTGCAAAAATGGAGTTGGACCCGGTGAGGGTTGCCTACGTATCCCACATCCAGTGAGAATCAAACTTGCGTAGTTCGGGTGGTTTTGACATAATAAAAATAGTACCAAATATTTTTTCTTGAAGCAAAAAAATATCCTTTTCTCTTTTCTCAAAATTTCGACAGAGTTTCGGTATCTTTTGGACGCCGGGTTTTCAAAGACGGGTAATTATCTCTCTCAATCCTCAAATTGATTTTTCCCAACTTTTTTCCATTATTCAAAAGCCGGTCAACATGTAATCCGAAGCAAATAAATGCACAAGTAGCAAGTAGAATGTATCAGGATGGTCTTTTCATTTCGGGTACACATGTCCTAGACAGACCTAACCCCTGTGTTGAGTCTCCAAAGTCAAATGCACGTGATGCAAACAAGCGTTCCTACTAGGGATCCAGTATGAGGCTTTGTTATACTAGGTTTTAAAACTCTGGGTGTATTGTTCTAGACCTGGCTTACCCGAGCGGACAGCTCGAGCCGGGGGGGGCAGCGTACCGGGAATACAGAAGCTTCCCCGGCTTTGCGACTTGTCGGAACCTCGTTCTAAAATTAGGATATGACTCTAATAGAAAAGAAGTTACATGAAGTGCACACTTCCCAGATGATTTAGAAGACTCAGAGAGATGAGGGTTTCGTAACAATTTATATACATTTCAAACAATATCAAAGCGGTAAAAAAGTGAAATTTAGCACATTAGGCTCAAATATGTAAAAATTAGATAATAAATAAAGCCAAGTATAACAGTTATTCTAAGCTCGAATTCTTAAACCCTGAACAAAAGTTCTAGGTTTTGGTCCCCAGCAGAGTCGCTACAGCTGTCTCACCTCCTTTTTACCACCCGAGAGGGGGATATAAGGGAGTTTTTTCCAATTAAAGTGACATTATTCGAAATGAGATTAATTAATTATTTTTTAGAGTCGCCACTTGGAATAGTTTATTTGGTGTCCCAAGTCACCGATTTATTTTAAATTCCAAGTCGAGGAAATTTGACTTTATTTAAAAGTCTGCGAACCAGAAATTTTAGATAAGGAATTCTGTTAACCAGGGAGAAGGTGTTAGGCATTTCCGGGTTCCGTGGTTCTAGCACGGTCACTTAACTATTAATAATTGGCCTCATTATCTGATTTATTACATGTTTTAACCTATTGTGCATTTTTAACTTAGAAACACTTTTAATTGATTTAAACCGCTTTTAGGAAGATTTAATGTCATTTAAAACACGTCGTAAACCACGCTACTTGAAATGCACTCGTGGTTCGCAACACGCTTTAGTTAACATTGTTGAGAATTGGGTCACATGAAATGTACACCCGGATTTAGTAATTAAAAATCACAACTACTTCACGGGAACCGTACCCGTAGCTATGATAAATTATTTAAAGAACGCGCCTAAAGCAACTATGAAGGTTCAAATTAATAAAAATATTTGTGAGGGCTATGGAGAGTTTAATTGATGACACACCTTGACTTTAAGAGTATTAAACTCTCCAATTAAATTTGTGAGGGCCATATATTATGGGTTTTAAGCATGACACACCTCAAATAGTTTTAAGAAAAGGGGTATATATTTTTAAAGGCAATCTAAAGGTACTCTTATTTTTAATCTAACTTGAAACTAGTTATCACAACCACGTCGTGGGAACAGAGATTCCAAACAAGCATAATGAGTTGGCTACTGCATAATTGACAAAGCAAGAGGAAATTCAAACGTCCTCACTACATTGGAACCTCTGACATGCTGACAAACATATACACATAGTGACAAAACCAGTAAATAAAAGAAATTAGTCTTTACAAAAATATGTGACTGGCCTGCACACATTCATCTTCTAATTAAGGATTAAACATTAGTCTTTCAATTTTACCTGACTAACAGTGAATGAATAAACATCAGAAATACACATAAAACAGTACTCGCACACACACATCATACAAGAAATAGACATGAATCTCGATCAGTTGCACAGAAATTTCACGAGACATTACAGATAAAGCCCTAGCTCTCTATGTAAAAATCTTTGCATTTTTTCAAATAATCACAGAGTAAGCAAATAACCAGCTGGCTTTTCTCACAAGCATATATATCTTCTCATAGAATGACATCTAGAGGAAATGGCTTTTGGGCAAAAATGTGTATTGTTCCATAACTACACCTTCCAACCTAAAGGCTCCAACTCCTCTCACTATTCCAGATCCCATTTATGACATAGGAAGATTTTGGGCAATGAATAACAGGGAAGAGAAAAGTCCCCTTTACTAGTGTAATAGACAATTGTACAATCAAAATTCTAACTTTACTAGTAAACACATAAGGAAAGGAACTTCCATAAACGAAGACTAATCATATAAGACCAAATTGAAACTGCATTACGAGCTGGGACAGAAATAAAGAGATGCAGCAGAACCATTACACGATAGCTTTTGACGATGTTATATATGAAGGGGTTCTAATGGGAGAGGTCACTAATAAGGGAACTAAAAGGAAAAAGAGATGAAGTGATTAACCAACCTAAAACCAATGCACATCAATAAACACACACATACAAACAAAATATTCTGTTGTATCTTAGTGTCGTTTTAAGCATGAATCTTTAGTCTAAACGAGAAGAGGCTACAGAAAGTAATGCACGAATCAATGAGCACTTTAAACAACTTAAAATTTTAATCTTTACATACAACAACATCATGCTCAAATATATTTGACTTATGCTATTGAAACCAAAGACAAACAATGAGAGGGATTCAAAGCTAGCATCAACTATTGAGCCAATTGGTCTTACAAAACTGGGCAGAAACTAACGAAAGTAATTTTGCATTTCATGATCCGATGTGGAGCAACAAAGAAGATGAACATACCTATTAGCAAAACAACTGAAAATATCAAATGAAACTCTGGAATGAGAGAAGAAATTCAGCGAGAGTAACAATAGCTCAACAGATTAGCCAACCAAATCCAAATTACAACCAAAAATCGGACAGAAAAACCACAGCGCCAAAGCTCCAAATCCCAGTGACAAAACCCCAACTTAAACTTCAATCCAAAACCATACTTGAAGAATAGAGATCGAAGAGAAAATGTGGAGATTTGTAATTTAGAATTCTTTTGAAATGAAGTGAAACTTGAATCAACAATCAAACTCAGACCAAACTTTATATTTTTTTTTCGTTTTTGAAAAGATGTCGAATCAGTAAAGAAAGGGCCTTAGAAGAAGAAAAACTTTAAAACCCTAGAAATTTTACTACTAAATTTTCTGAAGATTTTTTCTCTGAATTTTCCATAACCCTTAAACAAGAAACTCACCTTTTATATATCCCAACAAAAATCTCGATGCTTCTGCCCAAATATCCTAAAATTCTCATGTTTTTGAACGATTTTTGGGACAAATGGAAGGCATGGATCGATTTACATCCATCCACGGCTCCCATTCATCTAGCAAATCGTTCCATCGTACAGAAATCGTACAATTTTGGAGAGAATATTCTTTCTCCTTTGACAAAAAACCATTGGAATAAAGTGACGTGGAGAGGAGGAGACCCATTTGAGTGAACTCGCCTGAGTTTTAGGCGAGTTGAGGTTGGGCTAAGTGAGGGAGACGATGAATAGTACGGGTGTGCGCCGTTTCTGTGTTATTTGGGTCTAGGGTTTGGATTAGGGAAATGGTATAAGGAGGCTTATATATGGAGGGAGACGGGCGGGTCAAAATATGCGGGTTTGGTTCGATTCTTCTTGGGCTGGGGCGGTAAAGGGGAGTATTTGAGCTGAGGGTTTAAGGGTGCAGCCCAAGTGTGCTAGACCCGCTTTAAAATCATTTTTCCCTCTTTCTTTTATTATATCTTTAATCTCTCTTTTTTCCCAAATTAATCTAAATTATTTTTAAAAAATAGAATTAAACTAAATACCTAATTACAAAATTATAAACATCACTTAATTCTACATTAAAATAAAAATCAATAAATTAAAAATTTAAAGACAAAAAATGTAAAAATGAGCTATTTTTGTGATTTTCAAATTTCTATAAAATAAATAATTACTGATTAATTCTAAAAAATATAAAAATAAATCTTAAGTGCAATGCATGATATTTTAGGTATTTTTCATGATTTGAATAAAATTAAACATGCACAGAAATGCAAATAATTAAGAAAATTCTACAAAAATTCCTAAAATGGCAAATAATTAACAGAAAACCTATTTTTCTTGGGATTTTATAGGAGTATTTCATATAGGGCAAAAATTACATGCTCACAATCAGGCAAGGTTAGAACTGGTGCAGAAGTTAAAGCCTTCTTCAAGTTGTTGAAAACTTCAGTAGCCCTTGGAGACCACTTAAAGTTGTCCTTCTTCAATAGGTCAGTAAGGGGTTTGCTAAGAACTCCATACCCCTTTATGAACCTTCTATAGTACCCTGCTAGCCCCAGAAATCCCCTTAGCTGCTTGAGATTAGTTGGTTCTGGCCACATCTGGACAGCTTCTATCTTTTTGGGGTCAGTAGGTACTCCTTCTGCTGAGATATAGTGCCCTAGGTACTCAACTCTAGTGGCTGCAAACACACACTTGCTTCCCTTAGCAAACAGTTGGTGTTGTATCAATAACTCAAAAGTAGTTTTAAGATGTTGCACATACTCCTGCAGATCCTTACTGAATACTAGGATGTCATCAAAAAACACCAATATGAACTTCCTGAGGTGTGCTTGGAAGATATGGTTCATCAAACTTTGGAAACTGGAGGGTGCATTAGTGAGGCCAAAAGGCATTACTAAGTATGCATAATGCCTAGAATGAGTCTTAAAAGCTGTTTTCTGGATATTTGAGGGTGCCATCCTGATTTGATGATATCCTGCTCTCAAATATATCTTGGAGTAGATCCTTGAACCCCCTAATTCATCCAATAATTCCTCAATAATTGGAATGGGAAACTTGTCTTTTATAGTGAGCTTGTTCAATGCTCTGTAGTCCACACATAGTCTCCAAGAGCCATCCTTCTTCCCCACCAAAACTACAGGAGAGGCATAAGAGTTGGCACTATACTGAATTATGCCTTGTTGCAACATCTCTGACGCCATCTTCTCTATCACATCCTTCTGGAGGGGAGAGTATCTATAAGGTCTTGAGTTCACACGCAGACTATTGTCCTTTAGAGGAATATGATGGTTAAATAATCCCCTTGAAGGTGGTAACTGTCTTGGTTCCTAAAATAGTTCATGATACTCCTCTAGTAATGCTTGCACTTCAGCTGGTTTTTCCTCTAAGATGTTATCATGTTCCTCTTCAATAAATGATTTTGGGCACATCCTGATCATGAAAATCTGGGCATCATAAGTAGTGATGTTGTTAAAGGCCTTGGCATCTATAGTTTTGAAGGAAGGTTGGATGCCCTGTAGAGCAACTTGCTTGCCTTGATACTCAAACCTCATATATAGCTTCTCAAAATTGATTTGAATATCCCCCAACTTGCTCAATCACTAAATTCCCAATACCACATCACAACTTCCTATGGGAAGCACCAAAAAGTTATTTTGAAACATGACACCCTACATCAACCATTTGAACCCCTGGCTTCCCTTCACTGATTGTATAACTCTTCCATCAGCTACTGACACATCTTGAGGGTTAATCTGATAAACTTTGCATCCAATCCTCTGAGCTACCTTCTCATTAATAAAGTTATGTGTGGAGCCACTATCAATGAGAATATTGATTGGTTTGTGTTCAGTGAACCCTTAAACCTTCAAAGTTTTGTATTCTCTAGAACCCTGCAAGGCTTCTAAAGAGATCTCACAGCTTTTTATAGCCTCTTCTTCTTGCCTTTGATCTGTGATGCCCTCTTCAAGTTCTACTTCTTCAGGGCTAACTGCATCTGTCTCTTCAATCTCCAAAGAGTAAATCTGCCTTTTGACCTTGCACTTATGTCCTGGCATAAATTTTTCATCACAGAAGAAACACATTCCTTGAGCCCTTTTTTCCTCCATCTCAGCTGGGGTGAGTCTCCTTCTTCTATTGTTATCAAAGTTAGCAGTGACTGGCCCCTTGCTTGCAGCTATAATTCTCTTAGAAGGTCCACTAAATCCTGATCCTGAAGCTACCTTAAAAGTAGAGTGATGAGTTGCAGTTTGCCCCTTGATGGCCTTACTCTGAGCAGCAAAATTTGCTTCCTGTAGTCTAGCCAGATAATAAGCTTGAGGCAAGCTGCAGAGGTTCCCTACTCTAACAGTATCCCTGAGCTCATGTTTTAAGTTATTCAAAAAAATACTGATTGCATGTTCAGTAGCTAGATTGATCCTGGTGATAATACTAACAAAAGCCCTCTGATAATCCTACACTGACCCTGTGTGCTTGACATTCATGAGCTCAGTCATAGGGTCAGAATACTCAGTCCCAAAGCTGTCACAAAGTGCCCATAAGTACTCTTCCCAAGTAGAAAAAGGCAGTTGTCCTCTACTTCTCATATAGCCTAAGTGTCATTGTAAGGCATCCCCTTCAAAATTCATAGATACCAGCTTTATTCTCTGTTGAATTGTAACATCCTCATCAATAAAAAATTGCTCCACCTTATACAACCAAGTCCTCAAGTCATCACCATTGAACTTAGGAAATTTTACCTTGTAATACTTAGCAAAAGGGATGTTAGATAAGGCAATAGTGGGAGTGTAAGGAGGATTCTGTGGGTGGCCAATGGTGGAAGCAGGCTGGTAAGGGGGTGGTGTAGGGAGGTAAGGCACATGGTCGTACAAGGGAGGGGATATGTGAGTGGTTTGGGTAAATTAGGCAGGTGGGAACTGAGTGTGTTGGGCATAATGGTTAAATGGTAGTGGTATAGTCATAGGTGAGCCTTGGGGTCTGAAAGGGAGCCTGTGGGTAGCTCTTACTTAAGCTATTTTGGTTGTGAGGAGGCTGAAGTGGCACCATAGTTGTTCTAGGGAGTGGAGGAGGGTGTGGCTTAGAACTGAATGTTTGGAAGGGAGTAGGTTGTGTTGGTACTACTCGTGCAGGGAAGTTATATGGTGAAGAGCTAGGGTTTGAAGGCATTATGAAGCCGGTGCCATGGGCATAGAAGTGGCTCTAATTGGGGCAAAGAAATGGTGTTACTGCTAGTGTTGACCACAGCAGGGTTATTAACCCTTTGCGAGCTAGGTGAAGCCAGATCTCCAAATTCAAAAGGCTTATCATTGGGAGAATAGAGCTCACCTCCACCATATGCTACTGATTTGTCCATCTCAGGCCTCTTCCCGTCATGTATGACTTCATTGAGTACCTCCCTCATCTCACTCAAAGCTTCTTCTTGATTTCTACATGTTTGCTCTTGAGCAGCCTCCAGTTGTTCCTGTCTTGATGCCACAGTCGACACTTCTGTGGAGATCTTTTTAAGTGTCTCCATAACCTCGTCCATATTGATAGTCATTGTACCCACAGAGCCAAGATATTCTCTGATAACACTGATATGAGCTGAGCTAAGTTGGAGGAATTGAGAAGAAAAAGCAAGAAAAGCAATGGAACAGTAAAATGAGGAAAAGAAAAAGAAAGAAAGAGCAGAAAAGTAAGCTAACTTAGAGCAGCAAAATAAGAGTTTGATATATTTCTTATCTGAAAAAGAGAAGATCCTTACAATTTATAGTATGGTAACCTTAAATGACCTAGCTGACACTGTACGAACACTGCCCAGAAATGGCAACAGAGTTGGGCCTAATGTGCCTTGATAGACTAAATTTATGGGGTGAATGTGTAATTACAATAACTATAACTTAAAAGTAATTGGGACTAAACTGACTATCGTACAAACTTCTCCTAACCTCCTTCCCAACTGATTATAACGGCTATGTACTCCTGCGCAAGCACAGTAAAAATTGCACGGGGCGCCCTATTTGGTCGCCCCCATTAACTTATACCCATTTTTTAAAAAAGTTTTAACATGTACCCAGTTTTTAAATAACTTCAGCCCCTTTCTCCTCCTCCTTCTCCTCCTTCGTTTTCTTCTTCTTCTATTAACAACTGAAAGCACTATGATTAATTCTCTAATACTACCACCATTCTCAAACAATGGCTTAAAGAAGAAGAACTCATCCTCAACAGAATCGCTATGATTATGATTGTATAAGCTGCTCATAGTATGCCTATTTTGTTAAAGTTGTAGGAAAACTTTTCCACCAGTAGTTAGTCACTGGAGTAAGAAGAATTGCTCCAGCCAATCTGTTACATATTACTCCAGTTTACATTGATCGGAAACCCTTCTTCTTTGCCGGGCAAATAAAGCTAAAATTAATATCACTATAATTTGTTCCAACTAAGAAGACTATAAAATTAGACTACTTGTTTCTGCAACTGAAAAGGAATGATTGTGCTCGCCTTCGTATGTAACAATCAGCATGGTGCAACTAAGCAAGTTAACAACAATCAAAAATTTCAGCGCCAATTACAAAACAAAAACTTCAGCTCTAGAGCTGAAGTTCGTCAGTTACAAAATAAAAATTTCAGCTCTAGAGTTGAAGTTCGCCAGTTACAAATAAAAACTTCAACTCTAGAGCTGAAATTCGCCAGTTACAAAAACAAAAACTTCAGCTCTAGAGCTGAAGTTCGCCAGTTACAAAACAAAAACTTCAGTTCTAGAGCTGAACTTCAGGCCCGACTACTAGAATGCTGAAGTTTTG